TCTTGAATTTTGTTGAAATTTGGAATGTGCGATTGTAGTTTCTGTTTTAATAAAATTCAAAATCTAGATTTAGAAAACTGTTTGGATTAATTTCGGATTGAATTAGATGGATTGAGAATTCGTATTCATTGTGAACAATGATGATTATACTGTAGGAATTGAAACCTTGAACTGAACTCTTATACTACTGAAATTTTGTGTTGATTTGATTTCTTTGCTTTCTTGATACTGTTCTAATTGTTTGTTTGAAAATTTCCCCCCGAGTTCTAAATTGATTTACATACATGATTAAATTCAAAATACAATGTGCTTGTGTCCTTGAGAGATGACCTAGGTTAAGTCCTCTATATTACAGAAATTTGTTGAAGAACCTAGAATTGTTTGATAGTGATACGACTTAGCTATCAATTGTGCACCTAGAGGATGCTGGGGAGCTCATCGGGCCATTGCCCTTTGGCGCTTTCTAGTCGCTCTTTGAGTTCCCAGAGGATGACCTTGTTGGCAGCTTCGGCCTGGTCATTGGTCTGGGGGTGTTCCATCGAGGTTGAAAGGTGCTTAATTCCGAGATCGCGGAGGAAGTCCTCGAGTTCCTGTGCGATGAATTGTCGACCGTTGTCGGTAACGAGGGCGTGAAGGATTCCGAACCTGCAGATGATATTCTTCCAGGTGAACTTCCGCACGTTCGCAGTGGTGATTTTGGCGAGTGGACATGCCTCGATCCACTTGGTGAGGTAGTCGATTGCTACCAGAAGGAACTTTAGTTGGTCTTTCGCAGGGGGGAATGGTCTGAGGGTATCCATTCCTTATTGGGAGAAAGGCCACACCGGCATCATGTGGTGGAGAGTTTCGGGCGATTGTCGGTGTGCATTGCCAAGCTGCTGGCAGTCTTTGTATTTTTGGATGTGGTTTTAGTAATCCAGCTTCAAAGTGGGCTTTGTATATATATTGCTCGTCGAGATTTGATTGTTTTTCTGCCTTCTCGGGCTCAATCTTGTTTTTAGAGTAGGGTAGACTGTATTAAGGGTTCGAATTCGACCTCAAACGGTGGTACTAAGGTTCAGACTTGGCCTCGGGTTTGGGTAGAATGAATTGTCTTGGGGTTCGTACTCGACCTTGTTTTTGGAGTAGAATGGACTTTGCCGAGGTTCGTACTCGACCTCGTTTTGGATTAAAATGAATTTTGCCGAGGTTCGTACTCGACCTCGTTTTGTGTCCCGGGCGAGCTTGCCTAAACAGAGTCTCCTGGTGGTCTCGCGCCCAGCGCGAAGAACAGCGCCCAGCGCGAACTCATCAGTAACTTCCCCAAGTTCGAAAAATCTCCAAAAACCTGCAAAACTTAACAGAAAATCCACATGCAAACGGTTCAAAGTGTCACATTTTCATCATACATCATGAAAAACATCTCCTTTTCAGCATGCATTCACAGATTATGAAGATCCCCCAAATTTTCACCCTACCCCAAAAACCCCAAAGGTGAGTGTTCCTCACCACAGCTCATCAATTTCACGAAAATCGGTTATGCCATGTGATTATGCATTCCTTCACAAACCAAACAGCCATAAGTCTAGCTTCCCTTACCTCAAATCAAGAGATCCTAGCTCCGGGAAGTAGAAGAAAATGCTCAACGGGGAAGAAAGGGAGAAGGAGAAGAGGAAGCTCCGCACGGCTCGACTAGAAATCCAATCCTATTCTTGACCAGCACCTTGAATCAGCAACTAGAATGAGTCAGAAATGTGAGGAAGGGGGTGAAGGAGATTATATTATAATTATAATTAAGTTATTTTTCTATCTCATATTATAATAAATAATCACACATTAAAAATATTAATTTTTTTAATATAATTAAATTAAAAGTGAGTATTAAATTAAAAATAGAAACGGCGACGGTACAGGTACGGGTACGAGGCGGGGAAGTACATACCCGTACCCGTACCCGATTTAATATATTGGGTTTTACCCGTACCCGTACCCGGTCAAACCGGGTATTCCCCGTCAAAGTCGAGACGGGTTCGGGTATTACCCGCGGGTACGAGTATATTTGCCATCCCTAACTATTGACTCAGACGAGCACATCGACCTATACGTCACGCAGGTAAACCTATACACTAATGACGATGCTATTCTGTGTAGGTTTTTTCTGACCTCGCTCAAGTGCAGCACTCGCCTGGTATACCCAATTACTGGCAGAATCAATCGACAGCTTTGACACCCTAGTCTGAATGTTTGCGACACAGTATGGAACGAGTCGACCTCATCACGTTACATCAGCCACTCTGGCCAATCTCAGACAGAGCGATGATGAACCACTGAGGACGTTCATGGAGCGCTCTACCAGCATCTCGGTTAAGATTCGAAATTTGAATCCCGAGGTCGCCCTACACGCCATGCTCATGGCATTATAAATATGCTAATTGAGAAATTAAAAATAAATATTAAAATATATATGTAAGAAATTATGAAAAATATATTGCTAAACTTTCCAATAAAATACTTTTATTTTTTATTTCATAATTTTCTTAATGGAGTCATCGAAATATTTACCTCATAGAAATCATTGCCAAAAGTTCTTCTTAGGGCATGGGAGCAAATGTTATAATCTCTATGAAGTCATTGTTCAAGGCTTTGTCCCCGGCCTTCCCTGATCTAAAATGCATCAAATTCATTACTTAATCGGTACTCATGAATTGCGAGATTTGCACAATAATTAATGTATTGTGTGAATGTAAATCAGTACAATATTACCACATCTACGTACCTTTAGGGTTTAGGATTTAGGGTTTAGGGTTTAGGTCTATTACCACAATAATAAATGAATAAACATAAAAAAAAAGTTAAAAATGTTATAAAAGAAAGAAAAATAGAGAGAACAAATCAGGCAATATGAGATGAAGAAAAGAATCTGACTAACGTCCTCGACCGCCATGCCCTCCTCAGTGACCCTGTTGCCGCTGGACGTATTGGCCGAGATGGCCTACCTGTATGAGCTCTTCGATACGGTCCCGGAGCGTGCGACATTCCTCCGTAGTGTGACCGTGGTTCCTGTGGTACCGACAATGTTTGGACTTGTCGGCGCTGTTTGGAGTGTCACCTGGTGGTGGGAGGGCGAGTAAGTTGTTATTGCTAGCTTCTTCCAGGATGTGGGTACGTAGATGTGGTAATATTGTACTGATTTACATTCACACAATACATTAATTATTGTGCAAATCTCGCAATTCATGAGTACCGATTAAGTAATGAATTTGATGCATTTTAGATCAGGGAAGGCCGGGGACAAAGCCTTGAACAATGACTTCATAGAGATTATAACATTTGCTCCCATGCCCTAAGAAGAACTTTTGGCAATGATTTCTATGAGGTAAATATTTCGATGACTCCATTAAGAAAATTATGAAATAAAAAATAAAAGTATTTTATTGGAAAGTTTAGCAATATATTTTTCATAATTTCTTACATATATATTTTAATATTTATTTTTAATTTCTCAATTAGCATATTTATAATCCTATTAAAGGTCAAAAAATACGTCAAGACCATGTAATAAGCTGACCCACAAACAGTAAATATTTCAATTCACTTGCCCTATCATGTCTAACCTATAGGATCAAATGACAAGATAAGTTGATCTGTCAACACATTTAATTTTTAAAATTTATTTTATTTAAAGGAGTTAATTTTTCTAACAATATATTTGACCAAAAATTTAAATAAGTAAAATATATTTAACATATCCTAAAAAGTTATGATGACATGTATTAGTAATATTTTTAAATTAAAAAATTATTTTTAATTTCTTATCTTGGACTCTTAAGTTATTGTTAAATATTTACCTTACTTTTATATTAAAATATTGTAATGAATTAACTAAATCATTATTTTTCTTTTAACTTAAAAATATTTATTATCTCTTAAATTTAAGATAAGTGTGTTTTTTGATGTTTCAAATTTAAAACAAATAATTTAGTTTGTAAAAAAATTGTTTCAATTCCTCACAATCAATAGTTGCATCGCTTTATTAGTAGGAACGAATCAAGTTACTTGTACAATATCAGGTTTGTTTAATGTGATCTTTCGGTAGCAAAGATTATGGTAAACAAATTTTATTATTATTGTGTGACAATTTCAGGTGTATTTTTTTTGACAAGTTCACTAATGACTTTTTTTAAGAGACTAAACAATTTTTTTTAAAAAAATTTATAAAGCTAAATAAATCAATTTTAATTTTTTTTTCACTAGTACAAAAATGACTTTTAAAATCGGAGTTTTAAAATCAGTTATAAGGTAACCGATTTTAAAAGTGACGCGATGATAATTTTGTAAATAATGGCATTACTTTTAAAATCGATTACGTTATGACCGATTTTAAAAGTCTCTGACGCTACTTTTAAAATCGGTTCTTGAAGAACCGATTTTAAAAGTTCTACTTTTAAAATCGGCTCTCCAAGAGAAGATTTTAAAAGTGGACTTTTAAAATCGGTTATCAAATAGTCGATTTTAAAAGTGTCACTTTTAAAATCCGTTATTGAACAACCGATTTTAAAAGTAGCATCAGAGACTTAAACTTCTATCTCCGCTCCCACTCTCTCCCTAGCTCCATTCTCTACTCTTTGGCTTCAATAGTTCATATATTCCTCTCTTTACTCTCTCGAGCTCTCATCTAAAGTGTGCAATTTCTCATTTTCTCAGAAGAATACAACATCAAGGTAACATGGTGATGGAAGAGCATGGGCCAAAGGCCCAACCACTAGAGCTATGGCCAGGAGATTACTTGAAGACTTGTCTACTTCAGAGCTTAGTGGGCCCAATGGGCTTGGTGGGCCTAGGGTGCTTCTCACATGGACCTTACTTGATTAAACACCATGTTTTATTGCATTTTATTAGTATAGGAAATTATGAAGACACCTGTGCAGCATCAACAATGTCCACTCTGCTACCTCGGCCTCGCACCAAAGCTCACCACCGATCACCTTCACCAACGACGATTACACTGGCGTTTGTCCAAATCAAGATGACCCCATGGTCATCGCTGTGATGGTGCTGGTGATCATGATGGCATTGGTTCGCAGTTCAGTGTGACCCGACATCGTGAACTGCATTTTACAAGAGTGTCAGTTTCTAAAAAACATCTAACTTTAAGATCGTATTGGAGGTACAGTAATAAACTGCAGGCTGCATCACCTGATACATCCTGCAAGGTGAATGCAACAGCAATTTAAACTTGATCCTATCTACACTACACTGACCATTAACTCTAATTTGGAAAAAACAATAACCCCTAATAAACAACGTCGCTCTTACCTGATTGTAGGCAAGTGCCATTGAAACAGCACCTCTCATAAGACCAGCCCACCAAATGATCACCTAAAGCGAGAAAGAATGAAAAATTTGTTAACAGAACTTTAAAGCCCAAGAAATTCTGAAAGAGAATACTTTCTGAGTTCTGATAGAGATCTAGCCATACCTGCTCCCTGAAACTTATTCTTTCGCTTGGCGACTTTTTAGTGAGGTTGGATAAGAAGGATAGGGGAAAAACAAATGCTGCTCTCCCTGCAAGTACTAGACCCAATAATACTGAACTCACAGCAACAGATGTTTTAGGCCTGCAGAAGAAGAAACCGAATGAGGCGCATGAATTTTTTTCACTTCCTATAGTAAGAAAAAGCAAGTTTTGAGGAATGTTTGGAAAATTAAAAGATGAAATTTCCAAGCACAGAAAACATCTGTTTCAGTAAAGTGGCTACGTCATATACCATTTGTTGAAAAGGTGATACACGATTCAATAATCTTTCATGAATATAAAAAGGGCAAGGAGTTGATGATCATTTTGTCTAGTTTGTGAGAGAACACGGGACTTACCTATCACTAACAAACCTCCACTTTTCAATGTCCAAGGCATCCATACCAACGTAAAGGAAGATAAAGGTTTCAAGAACAAATGAGAGAGTTGCAAAAGCATGCCTGTAAGAGTTAGACGAAAAAACATGTAGTTTTAGAATATAAAAAAATAAGACAGCGTTACCACCTGTAATCGTCGTTGGTGAAGGTGATCGGTGGTGAGCTTTGGTGCGAGGCCGAGGTAGCAGAGTGGACATTGTTGATGCTGCACAGGTGTCTTTTTCGCGCCGAGCTGCTGGAGCCTCCCCCTGCGAAACCACCTACAATTGTGTTATAACTCCCCGCAAGGGAGCTGACCCTGTTTCTTAGCTTACCTCGGCCTACACCGGACCACCAGCATTTTGCTGAGAACTAGAGGGTTGGTCCATGCGAGCTCCCGAACCTCGACCTTTGCCTCGTCCTCGTCCATTGTAGCCTCCTCTGTGACCCTGCTGCCGTTGGACGTATTGTCCAAGGTGTCCCACCTGGATGAGCTCCTCTATGCGATCTATAGAACGCGCCATGCTCATGGCACTCAAGCCAGGACCGTTCATCGACAGCCTGTGTCGGCGACCCCTTGTTGACATGGACGAACTCCATGCCCGAGCTACAGGCTACATCTAGATGGAAGAGCACTCTACTTTTCGTGACTAGGTTTGAGGAAAATCACAGACGAAGTCAGACCAAGGCCATAAAGATAAAGTGAAGGTCACCAACGACAGTCAGTTCAAGAAGATTGCTAGGGAAAATAAAGGGGGGAGATACGACTTCTACACTCCCCTGAATGCGCCCCGAGTACACATCTTGGAGGAAGCCAACAATAGTAACCTGCTCACCCTGCCACCTGGACATAATCCCAACAGCACGGACAAAACCAAGCACTGTCAGTACCATAGGAACTATGGTCACACAACTGAGGAATGCCGCTCTCTCATAGATCGCATAGAGGAGCTCATCCAGGTGGGACACCTTGGACAATACGTCCAACGGCAGCAGGGTCACAGAGGAGGCTACAATGGACGAGGACGAGGCAAAGGTCGAGGTTCGGGAGCTCGCATGGACCAACCCTCTAGTTCTCAGCAAAATGCTGGTGGTCCGGTGTAGGCCGAGGTAAGCTAAGAAACAGGGTCAGCTCCCTTGCGGGGAGTTATAACACAATTGTAGGTGGTTTCGCAGGGGGAGGCTCCAGCAGCTCGGCGCGAAAAAGACACCTGTGCAGCATCAACAATGTCCACTCTGCTACCTCGGCCTCGCACCAAAGCTCACCACCGATCACCTTCACCAACGACGATTACACTGGCGTTTGTCCAAATCAAGATGACCCCATGGTCATCGCTGTGGAAGTCGCCAACTGGGAGGTCCACAAAATGCTGATCGACCAAGGTAGCTCGACTGACGTCCTATACTGGCCAACATTCCTCAGGTTAGACATCCCTCACTCCCATATCCAACCTCACACAGAAACCCTAGTTGGTTTTGCAGGAGAACGGGTTCATACTCGCGGGTACGTGGATCTATTGACAACCTTCAAAACTTCCTCTGACTCAAGGAGGATCATGGTCCGCTACCTCCTCGTCGAGGCCAACACATCCTACAACATCATCATCAGAAGGCTGACCTTGAATCAACTCGGAGCTGTGGTCTCTACCCCACACCAGACGATGAAATTCCCAGGGAGCGGGGGCAAGATTATTTCTGTCAGAGCAAACCAAAAGACAGCTCGGCAATGCTACGCCGAAAGTTTGAAGGTCTTACCATCCGTGGAGTGCTGCAAAAGTGACCCTTATACAGTGGCTCATATCACCCATGTGGACATCACTGACCTAGATCCGAGGTCGAACTCCCATGAGGAATGGCCGAGTCCCATTGACGAGCTTGATGACCTCCAGATCGGAAAACGCCCTGGGCTATGTACCAAAATAAGCAGGCAGCTAAACCCGGAGTTACGACGGCAAATTGAAGCCAAAATTTCCAAGAACGCCGACCTCTTTGCTTGGTCCAGCGCCGACATGCTAGGTATCGACACTAACTTTATCTGTCAAGATCGCTGTCGGTGTATCCGAGCAAACTTGAATTGATCATTGTTTTGTACCAAATACCAAACTCCTTCGTGCCTTGTAGGTATCTTAGAATTCTTTTAGCTGCTCCAAAGTGAATTTGGCTTGGTTTTTGCATAAACCTTGATAAAAGGCTTACAGCATACATTATATCTGGTCGTGTGACTGTTAAATATAGTAAGCTTCCAATTAAATTTCTGTAGCGAGATGTATCAGCATCTGGTGCTCCATCATCTTTCTGTAGCTTCTCCTAACTTTATCTGTCACAGGCTGGCATTCCACAAGGAGGAAAAACTAGTGGCCTAGAGGAAGAGGAAGGTCGGTGGCGAAAGACGAGAAGCTATCATCACCGAGACACAAAAGCTGCTGAACACGGGCTTCATCTGCGAAGTCAGATATACCACGTGGCTGGAAAACATGGTACTGGTGAAGAAGAGCTCAAGGAAGTGGCATGTGTGCGTCGACTACACCGACTTGAACAAAGCATGCCCCAAGGACTCGTACCCCCTTACCAAGCATTGACAGGCTGGTCGATGGAGCATCCGGGCATGCCCTCCTCAGCTTCCTAGATGCCTACTCCGGGTACAACTAGATCATGATGTACCCACCAGACGAAGTGCACACGTCATTTGACACTGACCACGCCAATTTTTGCTATCGAGTGATGCCATTCAGTCTAAAAAATGCAGGGGCCATTTACTAACGGCTGATGGACAAGGTTTTCCACCAACCGATTGGGCGGAATATAGAAGTCTACGTTGACGACATGGTGGTCAAAACCACTTCCACCGAAGGTCATGCCGACGACTTAGCCGAGGTGTTCGATCAGATCAGGAAGCACAACATGCGTCTCAACCCAGAGAAGTGTGTCTTCGGCGTCTAGGGAGGTAAATTCCTTGGCTTCATGATCACCAGCAGGGGCATTGAGGCCAACCCAGAGAAATGCAAAGCCATCATCCAGATGCAGAGCCCCCAGACTGTGAAAGATGTCCAATGCCTGGCAGGAAGGTTGGTCTCTCTTTCACGTTTCATCCCCAGGTTGGCGGCGAAAGCAGGGCCCCATCTTCACCCTACTGCGAAAGCCGAAGAAGTTCGAGTGGATGGACCAATGCGAAGAGGCTTTCAAGAGCTTCAAAGCCTTCCTCACGACTCTGCCAATCCTCTAGAGGCCGGATCAACATGCCGACCTCCTCCTCTACCTAGCCGTGGCAGAAGGCGCAATCGGCGCAGTTATAGTACAAGAGCACCAGAAAATGCAGACGCCGATCTACTTTATCAGCCGAGTTCTCCAAGACACAGAAAAATGGTATTAGATGATTGAGAAGCTCGCACTAGCACTTGTCGCAGCAGCTCGGCCATGTGTGCGTCGACTACACCGACTTGAACAAAGCATGCCCCAAGGACTCGTACCCCCTTACCAAGCATTGACAGGCTGGTCGATGGAGCATCCGGGCATGCCCTCCTCAGCTTCCGATCATGAAGCCAAGGAATTTACCTCCCTAGACGCCGAAGACACACTTCTCTGGGTTGAGACGCATGTTGTGCTTCCTGATCTGATCGAACACCTCGGCTAAGTCGTCGGCATGACCTTCGGTGGAAGTGGTTTTGACCACCATGTCGTCAACGTAGACTTCTATATTCCGCCCAATCGGTTGGTGGAAAACCTTGTCCATCAGCCGTTAGTAAATGGCCCCTGCATTTTTTAGACTGAATGGCATCACTCGATAGCAAAAATTGGCGTGGTCAGTGTCAAATGACGTGTGCACTTCGTCTGGTGGGTACATCATGATCTAGTTGTACCCGGAGTAGGCATCTAGGAAGCTGAGGAGGGCATGCCCGGATGCTCCATCGACCAGCCTGTCAATGCTTGGTAAGGGGGTACGAGTCCTTGGGGCATGCTTTGTTCAAGTCGGTGTAGTCGACGCACACATGCCACTTCCTTGAGCTCTTCTTCACCAGTACCATGTTTTCCAGCCACGTGGTATATCTGACTTCGCAGATGAAGCCCGTGTTCAGCAGCTTTTGTGTCTCGGTGATGATAGCTTCTCGTCTTTCGCCACCGACCTTCCTCTTCCTCTAGGCCACTAGTTTTTCCTCCTTGTGGAATGCCAGCCTGTGACAGATAAAGTTAGTGTCGATACCTAGCATGTCGGCGCTGGACCAAGCAAAGAGGTCGGCGTTCTTGGAAATTTTGGCTTCAATTTGCCGTCGTAACTCCGGGTTTAGCTGCCTGCTTATTTTGGTACATAGCCCAGGGCGTTTTCCGATCTGGAGGTCATCAAGCTCGTCAATGGGACTCGGCCATTCCTCATGGGAGTTCGACCTCGGATCTAGGTCAGTGATGTCCACATGGGTGATATGAGCCACTGTATAAGGGTCACTTTTGCAGCACAACCGATTGGGCGGAATATAGAAGTCTACGTTGACGACATGGTGGTCAAAACCACTTCCACCGAAGGTCATGCCGACGACTTAGCCGAGGTGTTCGATCAGATCAGGAAGCACAACATGCGTCTCAACCCAGAGAAGTGTGTCTTCGGCGTCTAGGGAGGTAAATTCCTTGGCTTCATGATCACCAGCAGGGGCATTGAGGCCAACCCAGAGAAATGCAAAGCCATCATCCAGATGCAGAGCCCCCAGACTGTGAAAGATGTCCAATGCATTGTTTCACTATTGGAATATCGACAGTCTTTCTCGGCATGATTTGTCCTCTTGCAAATCCCGCATGGAGGATATTCATTCTGATAATTTTTAGAGAAATTTCTAGAATTCTCTTTATGTCTAGAAGTTTCTCCATTATTCCTTTCAGTTGAGTCTTCATCATGCCTATTCAACCTTTGCTCGTAAGCTTCAAGTGACCCCATCAACTCTGTTATTGATAAGGTAGATAGGTCTTTTGTTTGCTCAATTGTTGTCACAATTGGATCATATTTATGGGGAACACTAATTAGAATTTTCTCCACAATTTTCTTGTCAAGAATATTTTTCCCGTAAGCTCTCATTTGGTTAACTATTTCTTTTATCTTAGAATAGTAGTCCTCTACAGTCTCAGATTCCTTCATATTCCACAATTCAAAGTTACGTCGTAGAGTTTGTAATTTTACAGCACGTACCTTTTCACTTCCTTCGAACTCCTCCTGCAGCGTAGTCCATGCTTCTTTGGCTGCTGTTGCACCCATTATTCTTGGAAAAATTGTGTCAGTCACAGCTTGTTGCAAAATGAATAACGCCTTTGAATTCTTTTATTTGTTCTCTTTTAACTCCTTTTTTTGAGTCGCAGTAAGAGATGATGGGTCTTCTGGAGTAGAAAATCCTTCTTCTATCGTGTCCCATAAATCTTGGAAGGTGAAATATGTCTTCATTTTTGTACTCCAAAATTCATAATTTTCACCATTAAAAATGGGAATAGGGATAGATGATGATTGAATGGTGTTAGCCATGGATTAGATTTTTTTTTTAAGTGGGTA